CCCAAAGCCGTTAACGTTCCCTTTTTTCCCCCGACCTCAACCAATGACAGCGCGCGCTTGGTTGCCTCGTCATCGCGCGTTCCCTGCGCCTTCTCTGCGGTGCTTCTTGATTGGCGTGCACCTCCTTGCGTTCCGATGCGCCAAAAGACGCATTTTGGTTCACGTGCTGGCCATATATTACCCAAACCAAAAATTATTGCCTCTTACTTTGTGTACAAGCAAATAAATTGGACTTCAAGAACATCTTTTTCCGGTTTCAGTTGAATATTTTATTTACACTTGTCATAGAAGCTATTTTTATGTTGTAATTTAGACATTTTTTGTCGTGTTTTTTATATCGATGGGGGTCCTTCTCGCATTTATTAATTGCCAAACTAAGCGAAAAAGCAAGCATAACGATATAGGGAAATACGTTTATACCGACGTTATTTATTGCTTATTTATCCAATGTCGCCGCTTCAGAGGGGACATGAACTGTTGTTTCATTAGATAATATTTATTCTGAAAATAGGGTAAACATATACGAGTTGGAAATTCGCAGCGTAATACTGCTAGCTAAACAGCCAATCACCAGAAGTCTCTTTATATCTTTAGTTTAAATGCTGCGATTAAAACTACTTGTATGGTGGGGAGGGTTTAGTTAGGGAACTAATTTAAGCGATAAAACTGGTGCCCCCGTATAGAATTTTAAAGTAATCTTTGTGAATCGACTATATCGTGTTCACAGTGACCGTTTCGCACAGTTTTCTTTACATATTTATGGTGCTGTTATTTTTAAGTGCTTGGGAAATTAGATGATCTGAAAATATTGAAATAAAGAGATTTTAGTATTTTAGTATACAAATAAAACATAAATGCGCTGTTGGAAACCTACAGCTTCATTCTATTTGCTGTGGAAAATAACAGTTATGTAGTGCTCTGTTGAGCCTGTGATGTACATATGAGTGTAGGACATGAAAAAAAAAAAACTATAATCCGCTATTTTTTATGTATTCAATGGTCTTAGAGCATTCCTAAGTATCTTGTATTTGCCTTGGATAGAAGACCCATAAGACACAATTCCTACGTTCATGTTACGGGGAACAGGAAATAGAAGACGCTATTAAGATGAGCATGCGGGACGCAGTCACGTTTTCGGCTGATATTATATGAGTTTTGCCAGATATCTGTGTGGTTAAGTTGATGCAGAACCGAGGAAAATATCTGGATATCTTCTTTACCAATTTATGTGTTGGCACGAGGAAGAATATTTTCGATTGGTGCTCACCTCGCGAGGTACTAATAAACTAGATTGTTGAAATCGCTCTACCTTATCATCGCAAACTAGCGGACGAACATCCTTGTGATGTTCGTGCGTAAAATGTCTAAAAAACCAATACACATCTCCCTACTGTAGTTTCATATTTTTATCTCAAGGTTAACAGAAACTGAGCATATAATGTCAAGGAAACATAGTGCCAGCTGCATATAAAATCGAGGGGCAATCTCTTGCCGAATTCATTTAGAATGTAGAAGTACAAGCAGTCGGCATTAAAATAGACTATCTCAAATGAGGGCCTGCTGGGTAGACGAAAGATCGCGCTGATACAGTGAGATGGATATTGTTTGCTGGTGCCAACTTTATAGACTGGGACTTTTGAAACGCCGCCGGTCTGGCTCAGGCTTTGCCGGTTACGCATGACTATGCAGGTAGGATTTCTTGTTTTCCTTTTTTTTTTTTGCTCGTTTAGAGCAGAGATAATTTCTTTTCTACATTCACTTTTTTTTCTAGAACGAACAGCTGAGAAGGATCGCAAACAACAGTATAAATGTGGAAAGAATAAAATTGAAAACGATAACTATTGTGGATGAAGAAAGAATAAAACAAAACTGGGGCAACACAACCACATCTTTGAACTAGCAGCAGACGAGTAAAATTTCCACAGTGAGCAGCCGACTCTACCCAGGAGGAAAAGGCGGGAGAAGGGGAGATAAAAACGCGAAATGCAAGTCAGACAGGTGGGTTTATGTCGGATTTTAGAAATTGAACCTCAGTGTTCGTCAGCAGGAGGGAAGGGTTTGACACGTTGTTGTTTGCTGTGGTCATGGCGAATAACTCTATGACCTCCCTGGGGAATCCGGTGTCGGCTGCTTGCTCTGAAAATGTTACTCGCCTGTTGCTAGTTGACAAACATGGTTGTGTTGTCCCTGTTTTAATTGTTTTATTCCTTCTTCATTCATGACTTGAACCAACACGCTCTTCTCCAAAGCAAGCACGGTCACTATTAGCTGAAGCACGTGCAATAGTAAAAAAAGCAAATAGTCCATCCACTCCTGCTCTCAGTGTATTTACGGCAATGTATGCCCGCGTGTAGCGACTTCACCATTCCGGCCGTCGATTACTTGGGCTAATTTTTTATAGTGCTCGGTGCACTTTCTTATTACTATTCCCTAATATAGAGCGAGATAAAACTAGAGTGTAGTTAGCAAGAGGACTGGCCCTTTTTCTTGATATGCCCAATAATGTCAGTGCGGAAGCTAAAAAGGACAGTGACGCAAAAGTACCGCTGACCGCCGGGGCTCGCAATTGGCCTTCCGCTGAATACGGATTACAACTGTCCCCACAAAAATAAAAAAATAAGAAAAAAAATAGAAATTTAGTCACCTCGTGAGCCCGTTTCGCAGAGAGAGGCTAGCCTCCCGAAAAAAGAGCGAGTAGCAGCGAACGAGGCGTGACTTTTCAAACGCTAATCTTTAATGTCACCTATTGCGAAAGTAAGTCGAGTCCAGCGGTTCGAGGGTTGTGATCAGGCGCGCGACACCACCATTCATCATCCAAAAGACAAATGCCGGGCAGCGCAACGACGTTTCTCCCTTGTTACAGGGGGAAACAGAAGCTGCAAACACCGGTAAAAGGGATCGAAGCACAAGAACCCGGCGCACAAACCCCGTGGGGTGCCTTCCCTTTCCCTCGACTTTGATTTGCCCTTTCCACTTCGGTGACGCCCAAGGAAAGAACATAAAAATAGGGTCATTCGTTTGGTCCTACGTCCCGTATGCGTTATCCCCGGGTGCTCTTCGAGAACTGCCCTAAGAAACGCTGAACATTTGTTCTTAAGATCAATCACTGAGCGAAAAACCTGCCCCAAGAAGTTGCATTATTGCTTCGAGGAACGTCTGCCTTGGTGTTTTTCGGTTGAAGAATGGCTTTTTATAGAGAATTGGATGCTACCCAGAACCAACCGTTCGTCCTTGGATGCTTGCTTTAGTTTTTTTTTTTATTTTATTTAAATCGTTCGGCTGGTCCATGGGTAGTTTCTTTGTCCTCCGGGTATGCGATTATGCGTCTTCGGTATCCGAGAGCGAGGCTTTTTTTATTGGATATTACAAGTTTCAAAAACGTCCATAATTTTGAAATAAAACTAGGAGTATTCGGTTTTTTATATTTTTTGCTTACTTTGTTTTAGGGAATTTAATGGTTATCGGAGAAATATTTCTGACGGCAGACCAAGAAATGTCGCCGCGAATTTCGGAATCGAGTTTGCGTCATCTTTTTCAGTCCATCTATCGACGCTTTTCATACCGACCAGGGACTCTAGGTTGGACGCTGGGCAAGAAAGCCGGAAACCTCGCCGACTTTCTCCCCCTGTGACTAACTAACATAGGTGGTAGGCAGAAAAAGAGGCGACATACCGGCTGAAACTAGTGAAACAAAAAATATCGCACCTGAAGTTGGAATTACACGTCCCGGTTGGTGTGACCGCCCCCAAGGGTTACTGAAAGAACCGTTGGCACCAAATCAGCTGTCCTTCATGTCCAATAGCGTCTTGGTTATCACTCGGGGCGTGTCCCTTTAAACCGGAAGTCTCCCCCGGCTTCACGTCCGGTGGCCGCATGTCGCCTTCATAAGCTTCCTTCCTCCATGCTAACTTAGAGCCTCTGAAAAAGTTTGGTGGCTTCTCCTCTACATGACATAAAATGTGGAAAAGTACCCTTGCCGGCGACACTGGTTAGGGTTTTGTGTCGCCGTAAATGGACCTTCCCATCGCTTATCACCCTTGCGAAAAATGCCGAGTCACTGAGCTGGGGACGCATGCACAGCCTTATATACGACACACTAGAGCTACAGCGCATGCTCTGAAAGGCGTTCCACGGCCCAGCAGGTAAAGATGGCACTGTGCAGAAGGTGGTTTTTGCACAGGTCTTTACAGAAGGTCGCGATCGATTGCGCGTGTTCTTCTATTGCCTTACATTAAAACGGCTCGCTTCTTTTAACTGTTTTATTGCGCCGCCTACACGAATGAATTTAGCGCGCTGATGAAACAAGATATATGTCGCAGAGCGTTTATTTAGGAATAGAGGGTTGGTGATGTTGGTTCTAGACTGTCCTAAAGTGGCAGTGATGACATTCTCTGCGGAGCAATCCACGCACCACAGGATGTAGTCAAGATTTAAGTGTGCCAGGTAATGATGCCGTTTTCTTTCTAAAATAACCACGAATGCTGCCACAATCGTTTACATGAAACAGAGATACCAGACGCTATTCTAAGGCGCAGCCCGATTCATATTTCAAAACCTCCTCTCAGCGAATTTGTCTGTTTTGTGTGGCACAAATTAAACTAAGTTATTAAAAAAAAGTGCGGCTAGTTTAATACCAACTATTTTTTGGGAGGTTAGCTTTCTTTAAGTGGATGAGTTTGGTTAAACAACGGTCTAGTTATTTTATTGCTGGCTGAATGCTATTTAGTAAGGTGAGTTTAGTAAGGTAGGCTTTTGCGTCCAGGCAGTAATTACAATAAATAGAGTTTTTGAAATCGTCACGTTTACTATATCTTAATAACTTCACTTAAAATATATGCAATGCACAAATGAGCACCGCACTGTAGGTCGAAAACAGAAACTCAGCGGTCTCATCTTGCTTAACTTACAACACAGCTGTATTACGATTGAACTTTGCATTGCATGTCGGGGACGGTAACTAAACAAGCTCGTCTCCTTTCTCTGTTTGCTTTCATCCTTAGGCCAGGAGACCACGGTGACGGGCCTGGTGGGAGAGTCCGTGCGGCTGCCCTGCGACGTGGACGTGAAGCGGTGTGGCAATGTGTACTTCATCACCTGGACCAAGAACGTGTCGGACGTGTGGAAGCGCATCTACCTGTACAGCAACGACGTGGAGAAGCCGCTCCAGGAACTGGCCAATCCGGACCGGGCAGACTTCTTCCTGCGCAATTCCACCGCGCAGCTCGAGATCTTCCCCCTCCGATTGGCCGACGAGGGGCAGTACAAGTGTGACGTTACCTACGTGAGGGGAAAGTGCCCCTCCCTCTCCTACGCCAACCTCATTACTCTCGGTGAGGGACAGCATTTCCGGGTTCATTCCCGCTGGCTACGGTGTGCACTCTCCCGAAAGGGTTAATTGAAGTAATATTTAAGTTTGTTATTTTGCGGTGATTAGTGATTTTTCGGGTCATAAAAGTCGCATTTAAAATTATTTTGTTCATTTGCGTCATTTATCCGTGGTGAAAACGCGACAAAACATAGGGATTCTCCCCCTTTCTGAGATATGTGTCTAAAAAAGAAGCTTACCGCGAAAATAATGATGGTGCTTTTAATTAAAAAGTGACACGCGTGATTTTAATTTCCAGAGTTTCTATATTTGTTAAAACGCGTAAATTAAGCGCGCGAAAAAAACAGACAAGTTCGCTTAAAAATTAATTTACTAGCTTTTTAATACCAATAGCCAGGTAGGTCCATCAATCTTAAATTTACTGGGATCTGGATCAATAAGAACGAATTGTCAAAGGTTAGGTTTAATTTAGGGGGTACTATTTTAGATATTATTCCGTTTGTTTAGCAATTATGAGTAGAGAAAGGGCGGTGACAAGCGTTTTAGCTTTTTACAAGCGTTTGGGCGCACACGCAGAGTGGATAATGAATGGAGTACGACGAAATTATAATAACTTAATTGTTATATATATATTGTTTTTTTTTTCTTCAAATTTTATGTTCAAGGTTTAACATAGTATTAGTTTAGATGCCGATTAGGTCTTGGTGTGCGCGTCGTTTCCGTTCTCCCATCTTTGTTAAGCAAGTATCTTCTGATTTTTTTTTCTCATTTGTATTTGAGCAGAAGACTTGCTCTTGTTACGACCGCCATATGCAAACGCTGCTCCAAATGTTATTCTTCGACGTTTCGAAATATTTTCTAATATATTATTGAAAATGTTATATTCATCTGAAAAATAACCCTCTACTTCAAAGTATTTTCACATCCAGAAATCCAGAAAAGGCCAGAGGGGCTCGCGCCGCTGCCAGCTGTGCTCAGCTGGCAGCGGTAGGAACGGCCTTTTATCGTTTATCGGCTCCGGCCAACTGCAGTTTATTTGTTACGAAAGTGTGCGGTACGGTACGAGGAACCAGCCGATACCAACATCGCGCAAGTGGTATGTGAATTTTCGCCTCTTTTGGGACTTCGAAAATTCGAGGCGAGCAAGCGTTGCTAGGCCTTAGGCTTAGCGCACGAGTACGGCCAGTACGGCCACCGGGGCGATCGCCCCCGGTGTTAGGCCTACCCGACGAGTACGAATAAGATGGCGTCGCCACCGACGATGGAGGTGTGCGAGAGCCCGGCAACCATAGGCCTGCAGGCAACGATAGTCGGCAACGATGAAGGGAAGATGTACGTTCAAGTAGGAGGCCGCGACGCGACACCCGGCGAGTCGAGCGGATGGACCACGACGAGTAGAAGAATGCGCAAGGCCAAGGAGCTACAAGGTGAGAGACCATCTTTAACCGCGGAACGGCAGTCGAGACCCAAGGAGAGAGTTAACTTTGTCAAGCGAGTTACCGAGAATATCAAGAAAGCAGCCCGTATGCCGGCGGCTATCCCCAGAGACGACCATAAGATCGTGATTAGGCCCAGGGGCGGCCTGAACGTAGCTCGAATCGAGACGCCGGTCGTCACGGACGCCATTATGGCGGCCGCGGGGACAGCGAAAGAATACCAGGGCGAAGACATGGTGTGCATCAATGCGGCGCAGAACATCTTAGTCGTGAGCACGCCGAGCGAGCAGAGAGCCCAAATTTACACTAAGATCAGGACCGTCGAATTCGGCAACATGGAATTTGAGGTTTCCGCCTACCGAACCGCGCCCGAAGGGACGGCGAAGGGAATCATCAGAGGTATCGGAATTGACGACTCGCCCGAAGACATAAATGAGGCGGTCGTGACAAAGTATAACCCAACGGCGCTAGAGGCGCACAGGATTGGAAATTCTACAGCGGTCATCGTCCTCTTTGAAGGACAGAGAGTGCCCCGGTACGTAATATACCGAGCGGCACTGCTCAAGTGCGGGCTTTACAGGAAACATCATGAAGTGTGTAGATGTTGCGGAAAAGTCGGACACCGCATCGACGTATGTCCAACCCCGGAGACCAGAGTATGCTTCGCGTGCGGGGAGGCCAACCCCGACGCGGACCACGAGAAGGCATGCAAGCCAAGTTGCAAGCTATGTGGAGGAGCGCATCCGACGGCAGATAGAATTTGCAAGAACAAGTTCAAGGTCCCCTTCGTCGTCACGAAAAGACAATGGGAGCGCCGAGAGGAACGCGAACAGCAACAGCTCCAGAAGACAAGACCACCAATGACGTCATCGGACTTTCCACAGCTGCCGAGCAGGGAGAAAAACGAGTGCAGCGAAAGCCAACAGCGCACCGGCAGCCGCGAAAGACACAAGAGCCAGCAAAAACACCTGCCGCCGTCGCAGCAGGAAGACGGGAAGCTTAAGTGGTTGCCTGCAGTTAAGGGAAGCAAGTCGAAAGAAACGCCCCGCAGCAAGCAGCAGCCACCATGCCAACACCATAACACCGGAGAACCGCCCGTGACAAGGCGAGAAATATACGACATGATTAGCGAAAACAACGAAAGGCTACTACAGAAGATGGAAGAGAAGATGGACGCAAGGATCGACAAACTACTAGAAGCAATAAGGGCGAGTCAAGCGCCACTGTCACTGCCGACCCCGCAACAGGAGCAAGAGGTGGAGCAGATACCCCGCCCATCCTCGAAGAAGAAAACCCCAGCAAAGCCACCTAAGAGGAAGGAGGAACCAGCCATCGCCGAAGAGGAGGCTACCAAAAGCAGCATCGAAAGCGACGAGGAACAGCCAAAGGAGCCCAGCAACAAAAAGAGGATTATCGAGAATACCAAAGAGAGAAAGCTCATGGCCAGGCTCGACCGCATGGACAAAGAGCGGGAACAAATTGCACATTCGATGAAGGAAAAATTCAACAAGGTAGAGATGACGCTGGGAGAAATACAAAGCGGAATGCTACAACTACAAACGCAGATGCAAACGTTCCTGCAGAGTATGGAAGCCAAGATGCAGACATTCGTGCAGAACGCCCAAACCCAGATCACCACCCAAATACAGCAATTATGAACCCAACAGCGAAATCGAACGCCAAGCCAGACAAAAGGGCAGTAACAGACCAGCAGCCGGTCAGGGACCTCCTGATTTGGCAGTGGAATTGTAACGGCTATCACAATAAGAGGGCAACGCTAACACGGCACCTACAGGGAATGGAGAGGAAACCGGACGTCATTATGATTCAGGAAACACTATGCACTGACACACCCCAACTTCAAGGATACAGAGCACACGCCAAGGCGGCCAAGCCCCTAAACAAAAACAAGAAAAAGTTTGGAATACGCAAACCAACAGGCGGGGTGTGCACATTCGTCCGCAAGGGCATCGTATTCCTCGAGCACGAGCTGACCACCGGCGGCTGGACCGATAGCAGCGCGGTGGAGGTGATCGTTGGGAAGAAGAAGAGGAAAACCAGCGTGCTCGCGGTCAACGTGTACAGCAGCCCGAGACATAGAAAGCAAAAGTTCCGCACGCTCATGCAAAGGGCACTGCGTGCGACGAAGAAAGGCACGATCGTAATAGGGGGTGACTTTAACGCACCACACTACGACTGGGGATACGATAAGACAACCGAAAAGGGGAGAGACCTATTGCAAGACGCCACGGACGCGGGGCTAACGCTAATCACGAACCCGGAGACCCCCACAAGAACGGGTACTTCGGTCGCCAGGGACACCACCCCGGACCTGACGTTCGTCGAAATAAATGGGAACGACACCGCAACGTGGAAAAACACCAAACACGACTTCGGCAGCGACCACATGGTCATAGAGATCCGGGTCCCGCTGGGGAACGGTGCAAGCCAAGAGAAACGAACACACAGATACACGAACTGGGAGGAGTTTCGGCGTCAGCTCCCAAGCCAGCATGGTAACATTGAAGATATAGAAGCGTGGTCGAAGGCGATAGTAGAAACGACCGAGGAGGTGACGACAGAGATAGAAACGGACGAAGACATACACGAAATGGACAGCAGATTGGCCCACCTCATCGAGGCGAAGACTGCCCTCAAGAGAAGGTGGAACCAACAACGAACAAACAGAAGGCTCCGCAAAAAGATCGCGGAAATCAACAGGGAAATAGAGAAACACAGCAAGGAGCTCGGCCGGCAGCAGTGGGAGCAAACGTGCAGAGAGGCGGACGGCCAACTCCATCTGGGCAAGACGTGGCGACTGCTCCGGCACCTCCTCGACGACACCCAGACCAAGGGAGAACAACAGTACAAGCTCAGCAGAATTATACACAAGGCGGTAGCGGAGCACGGGGAAGCGGAGGTGAAGAGGAGACTCGACGCCAAATACCTCCCGGTTCCCCAAAGGAAAAGCACCCAGAATACCAGGGGGCAGAGAACATCGAGGTTGACCAAGACATCGAGGAATGGGAGGTCCGAAATGCGATGCAAGACCTGAACAGGCGTTCGGCGTCGGGCCCGGACCGCGTCAGCAACAAAGCGCTCAGAAACTTGAACGACGCGGCCGTGACGGCACTGACGGCGTACTTCAATAAATGCTGGAGGGCCGGCAAGCTACCACGCCAGTGGAAGGAAGCCAAAACCATCCTCATTCCGAAACCAGGCAAGTCGCCCGACATCGAGAATCTACGCCCAATATCCTTAACATCGTGCGTGGGTAAACTGCTAGAGCACATCTTAATGACCAGATGGCAACAGTACCTCGAAGAGGCAGAGCTCTACCCGGATTCTCTCGTCGGCTTTCGAAGCAAGCTTGGAACGCAAGACGCCATGCTCCAACTCAAGAAGGAGATAGTAGACTACGAAACTCACACCAGCGACAACAGGGCAATACTGGGCCTGGACCTGCAGAGCGCCTTCGACAAAGTCCGGCACTCTGCGATCCTCGCCCAAGTGTCGCACCTGAACATGGGACAGAGATCTTACAATTACATTCGGGATTTCCTGACCG